TCCTCCCGCCTTAGCCTCCCTAGTAGCTGGAAGTGCAGGTGTGCACACCACTGCTCCTGGCAAACTTTAATTTAAAAAAATTTTTTGGCTGGGCGCAGTGGCTCACGCCTGTAATCCCAGTACTCTGGGAGGCCGAAGCGTGTGGATCACCTGAGGTCGGGAGTTCAAGACCAGCCTGACCAACATGGTGAAACCCCGTCTTAAAAAAAAATTAAAAATATAAGAAAAAAAATTTTTTTTGTAAAGAAGGATTTTCACTGTATTGCCTAGGCTGGTCTCAAACTCCTGGCCTCAAGCAATCCTCCTGCCTTGGTCTCTCAAAGTGCTAGAATTAGACATGAGCCACTGTGCCTGGCGCGTTATTTTTTATTTAAAAAATTTTTTATGTGGCCGGGTGCATGGTGGCTCATGCCTCCAGCACTCTGGGAGGCAGAGGCGGGTGGATCACCTGAGGTTGGGAGTTCGAGACCAGCCTGACCAACATGGAGAACACGACCAACATCCTGTCTCTACTAAAAATACAAAATTAGCCAGGTGTGGTGGTTCATGCCTGTAATCCCAGTTACTTGGGAAGCTGAGCCAGGAGAATCACTTGAACTCGGGAGGTGGAGGTTTCAATGAGCCAAGATCACATCATTGCACTCCATTGCACTATTATAAATTTATTTATTTTTGAGACAAGGTCTTGCTCTGTTGCCAAGGCTGGAGTAAATTTTTATTTTTAACCTTAATCCCATGACAAATGAAGAAGTATCTTTCTATAACACTTGGTACATGTATATCACAGGGGCAGTGGAACATGCAGGGCTTTGGAGTCAGGCACCTGAGACTCTTCTCCCAGCCCTCCCATCCTTAGCTGGGAGACCTTGAGCAAGTTACTTTGGGAGCCTGGGTTTCTTTATCCTAAAAATGGGAATGTTATTACCCTGCCTTACAAAGTTGTAAAAATTAAGGGAATGCTCAGAATTAGCCTGGGAGCTAGCACACAGTAAGATTATTGTTCCAGTAACTCTTTATTATTTTATTGGATTCTTACAACAATTTTGTAAGATACTCAGGGCAGAGGTGAACTCTGTTTGCTTTTTTTGAGATGGAGTTTTGCTCTTGTTGCCCAGGCTGGAGTGAAATGGTATGATCTTGGCTCACCGAAACCTTTGCCTCCAGTGTTCAAGTGATTCTCCTGTCTCAGCCCTCTGAGTAGCTGGGATTACAGGAATGCGACACACCGTGCCAGGCTTATTTATTTATTTATTTATTTGAGACAGAGTCTCCATCTATTGCCCAAGCTGGAGTGTAGTGGCGCAATCTTGGCTCACTGCAACCTCTGGCTCCCGGGTTCAAGCAATTCTCCTGCCTCAGCCTCCCGAGTAGCTGGGATTACAGGCACTCACCACCACCCCCAGCTAATTTTTTCATATTTTTAGTAGAGACAGGGTTTCACCATATTGTCCAGGCTGGTCTTGAACTCCTCACCTCGTGATCTGCCCACCTTGACCTCCCTAAGTGCTGGGATTATAGGCGTGAACCACTGCGCTTGGCCTAATTTTGTATTTTTGGTAGAGATGGGTTTTTCCATGTTTGTCAGGCTGATCTCGAACTCCTGGCCTCAGGTGATCCACTCGCCTCCCAAAGTGCTGGGATTACAGGTGTGAGCCACTGTGCCCGGCTGAGCTCTGTTTTACAGCTGAGGAAACTCCAGCCCAGTGAAAAACTAAATGTGGATGCTGGGAGTAGAATTCAGGTCTTTACAGTGTCAAATACAAGGTAGGGTATTCTTTAAAGGCAGATGGCGAGCCCTTTTTTTGATAGCCATTATGACATGGCGGCTTCACAGATGGTACCCAATGACAGAATGACAATGGAAGGGGTGTGGCTGTGCAGAGGAAAGAGTTGGTAGCAGGCTCTTTTCAACACAAAGTCACACAAAGACTTAGTCAATGTGTGGTTAGGATTCCTCCTTCCCCTTTTCCCTCCTCTCTTTCTCTTCCTCTGTCTTTCCCCTGTTTTTTCCACAAGCATATATTTTTTTAAATTTTTAAATAACTCTGATATTTTGTATGAAACACTTCACGAATTTGCGTGTCATCCTTGTGCAGGGGTCATGCTAATCTCTGTATCATTTCAGTTATATGTGCTGCCAAAGGGAGCACCACAAGCATTCTTTTATTGATTGATTGAGACAGGGTCTTGGTCTGTTGTCCAGGATGGAGTGTAGTGGCACAATCTTGGCTCACTGCAACCTCTACCTCCCAGGTTCAAGAGATTTTCCTGCCTCAGCCTCCCAAGTGGTTGGGATGACAGGCACACATCACCATGCCTGGCTAATTTTTTTGTATCTTAGTAGAGATGGGGTTTCTCTATGTTGGCCAGGCTGGTCTCTAACTACTGACCTCAGATGATCCACCCACCTTGGCCTCCCAATGTGCTGGGATTATAGGCATGAACCACTGTACCCAGCACCCGTTAGTTTTTGATAAACTTTTTGGCAAAGCCAGACTGGGAACTTTACTGTGCAGCTGAGAGAACTAAGGCTCAGAGCCAGGAAGGAACTTGCCCCTGGTCACACAGCCAGGAAGTGGCCGTGTAGACCAGAAAACACGTCTCCTGATTCTATGCTCCTCGCATTGTGCCTCCCAAATGCAGAACAAGACTGATTTTATTTTTATTGACTTTTTTTTTTTTTGGAGGTGGAATCTATCTCTGTTGCCCAGGCTGGCATGTGGTAGAGCGATCTTGGCTGACTGCAACCTCTGCCTCCTGGGTTCAAATGATTCTCCTGCCTCGGCCTTCCTAGTAGCTGGGATTGGAGGCATCTGCCACCTCACCTGGCTAATTTTTTTTTGTACTTTTAGTAGAGATGGGGTTTTGCCATGTTAGCCAGGCTTGTCTCAAACGCCTGACCTCAGGTGATCTACACACCTCAGCCTCCCAAAATGCTGGGATTACAGGTGTGAGCCACCACACCCGGCCAAGAACTGAATTTAACTTGCAACAAGGACACTCCAGGTAGAGTTAAGAAGAATTTCTTGGCTATTCAGGTATGTTAGTCAAATTCTTTTATTTTTTTTAAGTCTCTTTCTATTGCCTAGGGTGCAGTGCAGTGGTATGATCACAGCTCACTGTAGCCTCAACCTCCCAGGCTACAGCAATCCTCCCACCTTAGTCTCCCAAATAGCTGGGACCACATCCACACAGGACTATGCCCAGCTAATGTTTTAATTTTTTTTAGAGACGAGGGTCTCACTATGTTGCCCAGGCTGGTCTTGAAGTTCGAGACTCAAGCAGTTCTCCCGCCTTGACCTCCCAAAGTGCTAGGATTACAGATATGAGCCGCCATGCCCGGCCTAGTCAGGTTTTTGATTGCAAAAGATGGGAACTGATTCTGACTAATTAAATCGGGAAATGAATTTTGTTGAAAGCACATTGAGTAAGTTGCAGAATCACTGGAAGACTCTAGAAACAAGGCTTGGAAAATAAGCAGAAACACAGAGAGACCAGGCCCCTAGAATTACACCAAAATCCCATCACAGAGCCAGATGGTGAGGACAGCCTCAGAGCTGCTGCTGCCGAGTGCTCAGTGCCACTACCTTCATCACAGCCACGGCTGGCGTTGGATGCTGGATGCCATGCGGACCCAATGGCAAGCCTGTCTGGACACTGGATACTGCTGCCACTGCTGCAATCACTGTAAAGAATTTTTCCCATCCTCACCTCCAGCGTCAGAAATCCTAAGCAAATGCAGCTGATTGGTCAAGTGTAGGTCACTCTAGCTACCTAGCCACACGGAAAAGTGAATATTGGGCATGGTTAGTGTCTCTAATGGAAGCCGTTTCCTGCTGTCCACCAGGAGAAGATAAATTCCCCAAGAGAACTGACAAATGATGGCTACGTATATGTTGTTAAGAGAATCCACTGGAAGACCCTGACATTTGCAGCTTCATCACTTGCAATTTTGGTAATTTATTAGTTACTCCCAAAGGCCCATTATAAATGAATATGAGTTGAATGATTGGCTTTGCCTATTAGTGAGCCAGGCCTATTGCTCTGCCTGGACGTCTCACAGGACTATTATCCTTTATGTAGTTTGCATGCAGTGATTAAAATATTTGTTTCTTGTTTGCAGAGTAGAAAAGATTCATAAAATAAATCACTCAATAGTGCCAGTGATACAAACAAAGAGAAAGTGAGGAGGTAAAAGAAAGTGACTTTGTTTTTTGGCTACAGATAGAATTTTTTGATAAATTGGCATGGTGTGTCAAGTTCAGTGGTGTCTGAGATCCCTGATAGCATTAGATCAACCATGTGTGTCACTGAGATACAAGGAAGAGTTGTTTAGTGAGTGCATCAGCCAGTGCCAAAACTGCTCATCAAGAGAGAGATTAATCTTTACTAAAAGATAAGAAGAGACTCAACTAACCATGTTTTCTTTTTCTTTCCTTCATTGGGATCTCGGGTACAAAGTATTAAGTATGGTCAATACTCTTCAAATAGCAATTTTATAAATAACTTTATTTCTACATTTATAGAATCATCTAAGGACTGACATGGAATCACTCAAAATTTTCTGGCCATAGTTTTTTTTTTTTCTCGAGATGGAGTTTCACTCTGTCGTCCAAGCTGGAGTGCAGTGGCACAGGCTCGGCTCACTGCTACTTCTGCCTCCGAGGTTCAAGTGATTCTCCTGCCTCAGTCTCCTGAGTAGCCGGGATTACAGGTGCATGCCACCATGCCTGGCTAAGTTTTGTATTTTTAGTAGAGGTAGGGTTTCTCTATGTTGGCCAGGCTAGTCTCGAACTCCTGACCTTAAGTGATCTGAACACCTTGGCCTCCCAAAATGCTGGGATTACAGGTGTGAGTTACTGTGTCCAGCCTGGCTGTAGTTTACAATGTAATTTTGGGAGATACAATGTGGTATGTAGTGGATTAGGGCATCTGAAAGGTCTGGAAAAATCTCTTGCAAATGTTAGGAGTCTCCTATGTAAATCTCTTTATAGAAATCCCGTTTTGGCCAGGCACGGTGGCTCACCCCTGTAATCCTAGCACTTTGGGAGGCCTAGGCAGGTGGATTACCTGAGGTCAGGAGTTTGAGATCAGCCTGACCAACATGGTGAAACCTCATCTCTGCTAAAAATACAAAATTAGCCAGGCATGGTGATGGGTGCCTGTAATCCCAGCTACTTGGGAGGGTGCGGCAGGAGAATCGTTTCAACTTGGGAAGCGGAGGTTGCAGTGAGCTGAGATGGCACCATTGCACTCTAGACTGGGCAACAAGAGCAAAACTCGATCTCAGGAAAAAAAAAAAAGAAAGAAAGGAAGAGAAAAGTAATCTCTTTTCTACAGATTTTTTTTTTTTTTTTTTAAGGTAGTCAACTGTCCTGGGTAAATGAGCACAGTGCCCTTTCAAGTCTTTGGCCAACACACTGGCTCTGTGATCGATAATAAGTAATGCTTATTCCAGGCAAAGTCTGCACTTAGGAAAATTCTTTCTGTGTTTCCTTTTAAGAGTATTTGTGGGCTGGACATGGCGGTTTATGCCTATAATCCTAGCACTTCGGGAGGCTGAGGCGGGCGGATCACGAGCTCAGGAGTTCAAGACCAGCCTGACCAACATGGTGAAACCCTGTCTCTACTAAAAATACAAAAATTAGCTGGGCGTGGTGGTGTGCGCCTGTAATCCTAGCTACTCAGGAGGCTGAGGCAGCAGAATTGCTTGAACCCGGGATGGGGAGGTTGCAGTGAGCCGAGGTTGCACCACTGCACTCCAGCCTGGGTGATAGAGCAAGACTCTGTCTCAAAAAAAAAAAAAAAGAGTACTTGTGTACTTGTGGCCAGGTAGGATCTTTCTATGTTTTCTCTTGAGAATAGTTGTGTATTAGAAACTGTCTCACACCTGTAATCCCAGTGCTTCGAGAGGTCAAGTGGGGAGGATCCCCTGAATTCAAGGATTTGAGACCAGGCTGGACAACATAGGGAGGCCACCATCTCAAAAAAAAGAAAGTAATAATAAAGTTAAAAACATTTTTAAAAAAGAATACTTGCCAGCCACAAAGGAAAGGGTTTTGGTTCTTTTTCTCCCTCCTCAATCCTAGGAACCCGTGAAAGGATTTTGGTTCTCAGTGCATAAGGAACATTTCCATTTTAAACCAGAAGGCTAGAGACATTCTAACAACCTACCCAGCTGTTCTTTACCTGTAGGATGAGAACTTTTCACAGCAGTGCCACCCAGTATTGATCTGTGTATGTGAGGCCTTTCGAAAAAGAGTGGGCAGCAACTTGCTGCAGATAAGAGGTAGGAGGTTTGCTTAGTGAGTAAGAAAGCAGAGTCAGTGCAGTAAATATCCACCCAGTGAATGACGCCCAATGAATGACTTCGCAAGTGCCAAGTAAATGAATGGACAGCTGTTGATGCTTTTATATTTCTTTGAGACTATAATGTGTTGTAATCATTGTTTTGTTTTGAGACTCCTGCTCCATTCAATTAGGCTTCTAAGAATTCTGGTAACCTGAAGTGTGTTTCTGGACATTGTATCCCAAGTTTAACCTGTAGAGTGCATGGAGTTTATATACAGGCCACGCCCAAGGAAGGACAAAATTAATGACATGACCTTCTATTAGATTTGATTTGTGAGGCCCTCGGGAAGGAAACCTTGGACCTAGGAGCTGGTGAGTAGATTCCAGCAGGGTAAGGAGGAACTACCTAAGAATTAGAACTGTTACAAAATACAGCAACCCCACTGAAGTTCATCTAGATTGTTTATAAATACAGCTTTGTGTATGCGCTCAAATGCCTTTAAAGGGTGGACTTCTAGAAGTTGGATGGTTCTGTTGAAAGGTATATACTGTTTATAGTTTACGGATATTTGCCAGTTACCTTCCAAATGGCTGCCTTAATTAACACTTCATATACTGCACCCAATTCCACACAGCCTCATAAATATGGGATAGTATCAGTTTTTTTTTTTTCTTTTTCTCTTTTGTTTTTGAAGATGGAGTTTTGCTCTTGTCGTCCAGGATTGAGTGCAATGGCACAATTTCAGCTCACTGAAACCTCCGCCTCCCAGTTTCAAGTGATTCTTTTGCCTCAGCCTCCTGAGTAGCTGGGATTACAGGTGCCTGCCACCACGCCCTGCTAATTTTTGTATTTTTAGTGGAGATGGGGGTTTCACCATGTTAGCCAGGCTGGTCTTGAACTCCTGACCCCAGATGATCACCCACCTCATCCTTCCAAAGTGCTGGGATTACAGGCGTGAGCCACTGCGCCCAGCCTGAGTCTTTTTCATTGTTACCAGTCTGATAGGTGATATTTCCTCAGAAATTCAGGAGTGGGAAAGGAGATAAACATGAATAGGAGAGGTGGGGAAATGTCAGAGACTGGAAGGAGCACCTGTGAACATTACAGCACCAGGTGTTGGAGATCAGCTAAATCAGAGAGCGGCCCCTGTTCTCAGGAAACAGAGTGTACAGGTAAGGAGTTGGAGGATGATAGTAATTTACTGAGAGGTAAAACCAAAATGCTGGCTGGCTGCAGTGGCTCACACTTGTAATCCCAGAACTTTGGGAGGCTGAGGCAGGAGGATCGCTGGAGCCCGGGAGTTTGAGACCAGCCTGGGTAACACAGGAAGACGCCATCCCAACAGAGAAAAAAATAGCTGGGCATGGTGGCATGTATGCTTGCAGTCCCAGCTACTTGGGAGGCTGAGGTGGGAGGCTCGCTTGAGCCTGGGAAGTAGAGGCTGCAGTGAGCTGTGATCCTGCCACTGCATTCCAGCCTGGGTGACAGAGAGAGACCTTGTCTCAAAAAAATTAAAATAGGCCGGGCGCTGTAGCTCACACCTGTAACCCCAGCACTTTGGGAGACCAAGAGTTCAAGACCAGCCTGGCCAACATGGTGAAAAACCATCTCTACTAAAAAATACAAAAATTAGCTGGCATGGTGTTGGGCACCTGTAATTCAAGCTACTTGGGAGGCTGAGGCAGAAGAGTCGCTTGAACCCAGGAGGTGGAGGTTTCAATAAGCCGAGATTGTGCCACTATACTCCAGCCTGGGCCACAGAGCCAGACTCTGTCTCAAAAAAAAAAAAAATAAATAAATAAATAAAAAAATAAGAAAACCCCAAATGCTTCAAATTGCTACCAATGTGCTCATTTGGTGCTGGAGCCTGAAGTAGCTAGAACTACACGTCTGCTTTATGGTACAAGGCAAGGCAGAAAGCAGACATGCAGCGAGGTTTGGCTAAACCAATGGGGTTGACTATTTTGCAGCGCAGGAAATATGTTTAGGCACTAATATACTTAAAACGGTGGTTGTGAAGCTGTGAAATTCCGGAACTGCTGAAATTCCAAGATAAGGGCAAATGTAATCCTTATTTTGTAGCTCCTTTTACAAAGTTGTTAACAATATGGAATTTTATTTCCTCATAAAATGATTATGTATGATATTTAGATTTACAATAAGGCTGATTTATACAATGAGAGCTGTCCCTAATTGAACTTAAATACTTTAATATTTGTAGTTAAAAGCTGCTGATCTTAAATCCACATTGTAGTTTTGTCAATTATGAGATGTGGCAAAAACTAGAAAAAAATCATCAATGTTCAAGGGAAATTAATAAAATATAGTTATATCTATGGACTGAATGTCTGACTCTGGGAGGTGGGTGAGTGGGTGGGTAAAAAATGCAATGGAGAGAAAAAGACTTTATTTCAGAAAAGTTGTTGGGGAAAAGAAAAATGTCTCTTCCTAAATGTATTGAATATAATCTATTGTAATGTGAAAACTTGCCTAATGAGTTTTATTTGAAAATCAATTGAATTTGATCTGATTCCCAGTAACATGCAGTATAAGAACAGGCCCCAGGCTCAGCTCCATCCCTTCCATCTGTCCATCCATCCATCTAAAACCCATTCATCCGTCCATAGCCGATAACAACTAATAATTATAGGGTGTTTACTATGTGCCAGATACTGTTCTTTTTTTTTTTTTTTTCTGAGACAGAGTCTTGCTCTGTCACCCAGTCTGGAGTGCAGTGGCATGAATATGGCTCACTACAACCACCACCTCACAGGTTCAAGTGATTCTCGTGCCTCAGCCTCCCAAATAGCTGGAATTACAGGCGTGTGCCACTATGCCCAGCTGATTTTTGTATTTTTAGTAGAGACGAGGTTTCACCATGTTGGCCAGTCTGCTCTGAAACTCCTGACCTCAAGTGACCTGATCTGCCTACCTTGGCCTCCAAGAGCTTACTGTTCTAAGTGCTTCACATGCATTATCTCAAGCGATCTTCCCAGCAATGTTACGAGGCAAGTGCTGTCATTATCCTGAGTTTAAAATGGAATCTGAGGGTTTCCCAATAAGCTAAACATAGAATTAATTATTATATGACCCAGCAATTCCACTCATAGGTATACACCCCCACTCGAACTAGAAACAGATATTTAAACAAAACTTTACAGGGATGTTCATTCACAATAGCCAAAAGGTGGAAACAACCCAAATGGCCATAAACAGATGAGTGGATAAACAAAATGTGGCGTGTCTATACAACGCAATAGCATTCAGCCATAAAAAAAGGACATTTTGCTGGGTGCAGTGGCTTACACCTGTAATCTCAGCACTTTGTGAGGCTGAGGTGGGCAGATCACTTGGGGTCAGAAGTTTCAGACCAGCCTGGCCAACATGGTGAAACCCCATCTCTATTAAAAATACAAAATATTAGTTAGGCATGGTGGCAGGCGCCTACAATTCTAGCTACTTGGGAGGTGAGCCCAGAGAATCGCTTGAACCCGGGAGGTGGAGGTTGCAGTGAGCCGAGATCATGCCACTGCATTCCAGCCTGGCCAACAGAGCAAGACTCTGTCTGCCCCCCACCCCCCAAAAAACAAACAGGAAATTCTGACCCTTGCTACGATACGCATGCCTCTTGAAAACATTATGTGAAGGAAGCCAAGAACAGAAGGCCATGCACTGTATGGTACATACATATTGTATGATTTCATTTATATGAAATATCCAGAATAGGTAAATCCATAGACACAGAAAGCAGATTCGTCATTGCCAGGGACTACGGCAAGAGGGCAATAGGAATTAACTGCTTAATGGGTATGGGTATCAGGTTTTTGTTTGTGATGAGAACGTTTTGGAACTAGTGGTGATAGTTTCACAACATTGCAAATGTACTCAATTCACTGAATTGTACACTTTAAATGGCTAAAAACAGGGCCAGGTTCAGCGGCAATGCCAATTACACACAAAGTGTAATCCCAGCAGTTTGGGAGGCCAAGGTGGGTAAATCACTTGAGGTCAGGAGTTTGAGACCAGCCTTGCCAACATGGTGAAACCCCTTCTCTACTAAAAATACAAAAATTAGCAAGGTGTGATGGTGTGCACCTGTAATCTCAGCTACTTGGGAGGCTGAGGCAGAAGAATTGCTTGAACCCAGGAGGCGGAGGTTTCAGTGAGCTGACTCAGAGAATTTAAATAAGTGTTAACTTATTTTTCATATAATCTGATGTTAACTTACAGATGATACGTGGTACAGCTGTGTTTTAATCTCAGCCACCTGGTTCTTTGGCTCATGCTTTTTAAAACAATGCAGAGAAAACTTTATTTTGGGCAATTTAGGAGGTTTAGATCATTTTGATCATCTTCAGCTGCCTTTTCTTCACACACAGGAAAGGCCTTGGAAAGCAGTGGTTGCACCAGACAGCCCAGGAAAGAGCCGAACGCTGAAGACCACCTGCTGTTTGCTGTTCCCTGGCATTCATGCCCCTCAGGGGTGGAGGAAGAACCCAGGACAATGGCTGCTGCTCATGATCTGGAGATGGAGAGCACGAATCTGAATATGGAGAGAGAGATGAAAGAAGAGCTGGAGGAAGAGGAGAAAATGAGAGATGACGGGGCAGGGAAAGATCGTGCCAAGAATAAAAAGGTCCATAGGATCGTCTCAAGATGGATGCTTCCCGAAAAGGCCCGAGGAACATACTTGGAGCGAGCTAACTGCTTCCCACCCCCTGTGTTCATCATCTCCATCAGCCTGGCCGAGGTGAATGGGAGCAGGGTGGGCACTGGAGTAAGTGGCATGGGGGAGTTGCAAACAAACTAGGGGTCAGATGTAGATCTAGAGAAGGGACTGAAAACATGTGACAGAGCTTGGCGGGGATGGGGACAGCACACACCTAACCTCTGCCTCCTCCCTCCCCAGAGCTGCCTTTGGGGGCCTTCCTTACACTCCCTGTCACTGCCAACCCAGGGCAGAGTTTTATTTGTCAGACAAATCTGCCCAACTGTGCTGCATTTTCAGTGGCTTTTTTTCATTTTAACCATGATGTTTTTAGGAACCAAATCATCCTGGGGTTGCACATGGGTTTTCTCTCATGAACCAATTTAGACTGGTTGGTAAGGCCTTTCTGAGGCCCCAGGTTTAGAAGTATGATAGGCTGTTTCTGAATTTCAGTGGGAAAGAAACGGGATCCTTTAACAACGTCTACTTAAGGCAGCACGTGGTGTGTTGTCAAGCTCTGATCTAGACAGTCCTCTTGTTTTCCAGAAAAGACTGCAAGGCTCAGAGAGGTGGGATGACTTTCCCAAGGCCACATCATAGTCACGGGGCCAGTGGGGTGTGACTTCACGGGCATTAGGAAGTTCCTAATGTAATCCTTTTAATTTCCATTGATGTACTGATGCCTCAGCTTCCTTACCAGAAACTATATTAGTCAGAGTTCTTCAGAAAAACAGAATCAATAGGTGTGTGTGTGCTGGGGGAAGAGAGATTAAGATTTATTTTAAAAGCCAGGCATAGTGGCTCATGCCTGTAATCTCAGCACTTTAGGAGGCTGAGGCAGGCAGATCACCTGAGGTTGGGAATTTGAAACCAGCCTGGCCAATAGGGTGAAACCCTGTCTCTACTAAAAATACAAAAATTAGCCTGGCACGGTGGTGCATGCCTGTAATCCCAGCTGCTTGGGAGGCTGAGGCAAGAGAATTGCTTGAACCCGGGAGGTGGAGGCTGCAGTGAGATGAGATCGTGCCATTGCACTCTAGCCTGGGCAACAAGTGTAAAATTCCATCTCAAAAAAAACCATTTATTTTAAGGAATTAGCTCAAATGGTTATGGAGGCTTGGCAAGTCCAAAATCTTCAGGGAAGGCTGGCAGGCTGGAGGCGCAGGGAAGACTTGCAGTTCAAGTCCAAGGGTAGAGTTCTCCTGGCAGAATTCCCTTTTCCTAACAGAGGACAGTCTTTTCTCTAGCAAGGCCTTCAATTAGACAAACCTCACCCGTGGTATGGTGGGAAATCAGCTTTACTCAAAGACTACTGATTTAAATGTTAATATAAACCATACCTTCACAAAAACATCTAGGAAAATGTTTGAGCAAATGTTTGGGTAGCATAGCCTAGCTAAGTTGACACATAAAATTAACTGTTGCAGGGACCAAGCCTCTGATGGCTCAGATCAAGGTGAGCCTGAGGTGTAAGCATCCCGGCAGATGCTGTGGTCAAGTCTGGTTAGGTTGAAGGGGCACAGTTCTAACGTTTTTTCACAGGATTTTATTGTGAGGCTGCTTGCAACCGGGAAGTTGTCTGGATCTGAAGCATCTGTACCTGTTTTTCCTGCTTCTCCCCCCTGTTATACTGTCAGCCTGTAGGTTGTCTGGTGTTCTAATCAGCTATGTGTGTGTCTTCTCCATTTTAAATTAAACATTTAAAAATGCCTAGGCTGTGTGGCTCAAACCTGTAATCCCAGCACTTTGGGAGGCAGAGGTGGGCAGATTACTTGAAGTCAGGAGTTCGAGACCAGACTGGCTAACATGGTGAAACCACGTCTCTACTAAAAATAGCACAAATTAGCCAGGCGTAGTGGCAGGCACCTGTAATCTCAGCTACTCAGGAGGCTGAAAGAGGAGAATCACCTGAACCCAGGAGGCAGAGGTTGGAGTGAGCTGTAATGGCATCATTGTATTCCAACCTCGGCAACAAGAGCGAAACTGTCTTAAAAAAATTTTTTTAAATAAACTTTTTATTTTGGAATAATTTTACCACTATAGAAAAGTTGTAAAGATAAAACAGAAAGTTCCTGAATGCCTCTTACCCAGCTCCTCCTATTGTTTATATCCGACATTTCTTTCCCCTTTTTTTTTTTCCAAACCCAGGATAATCTCTGTATATAGTACATTACATTTCCATAGTCATTTTTTTTGAGACAGTCTTGCTCTCTCACCCAGGCTGGAGTGCCAGTGGCACAATCTTAGCTCACTGCAACCTCTGCCTCCCAGGGTCAAGTGATTTTCCTGACTCAGCCTCCCGAGTAGCTGGGATTACAGGCATGCGCCACCACGCCTGGCTAACTTTTTACACTTTTAGTAGAGATGTAGTTTCACCATGTTGGTCAGGCTGGTCTTGAACTCCTGACCTCAGGTGGTCCACCTGCCTCGGCCTCCCAAAGGGCTGGGATTATAGGCAGGAGCCACTGTGCCTGGCCCCATAGTACATTTGTCAAAACCGAGAAACTGACATTGGCATATTACTAACTAAACTCCAGATTTTTCTGGATTTTTACTACTTTCTCCACTGATGTCCTCTTTCTGTTCCTCTGGTACCCATTGCATTTAGTGGCCATGTCTCCCCAGGCTCCTCTGATCTGTGGCAGCTTCTCAGTCTTTGTTTTTCATGATTCTGATAGTTTTGAGGGGGACTGGCCGGGAGCCTGTAGAATGTCTCCCAGCTGGGGTTTATCTGATGCTTTTCTCATGATTTAACTGGAGTTATGAGTTTAGAAGAATACCATGGAGGCAAAGGGCCCTTCCCATCACATAGGCTCAGAAAGTTGATGATGTCACATGGTGTCACTGGGACTTTCACCTCCATCCCTTGATTAAGGCAGTGTTTGCCAGGTCTCTCCCGGGCAAGTAATTATTTTTCCCTCTCCCTGCTCTATTCTTTGGAAGCCAGCACTGATCTTCCCTCCCTCCCTCCTTCTCTCTCTCTCTCTTTCTTTTCTCCCTCTGTCCTGCCCAAGCTGGAGTGCAGTGGCATGATTTTGGTTCACTGGAACCTCTGCCTCCCGTGTTCAACCGATTATCCTGCCCCAGCTTCCTGAGTAGCTGGGATTACAGGCGCACGCCACCATGCTCGGCGAATTTTTGTATTTTTAGTAGAGATGGGGTTTCACTATGTTGGTCAGCCTGGTCTTGAATTCCTGAGCTTGTGATCTGCCAGCCTCAGCCTCCCAAAGTGCTGGGGTTACAGGCATGAGCCACTGCACCCAGCCATTGATCTATTTTCATAGTAAGTTGCAAATGAAAGATCAGTTGGTTCGACGATGAGGGCAGTAGGTATTTAAGAGGGAGAGGGTGGTAGAGAACATGGTGTCAGAGAGCAGAGTGTCCAAGAGCAGGGCCACAGGGATTCACAAATTCTTCCTTACAATGTGAGCTAGCACTGCACCCAACCATCAGAGGAAGTGGGGTATGGTGGGAACCATCACATTGGGGATGGTGGAGAAGTGTATTTCATGTTATCTTCTGGCACTATGGTGTGGCCCACTTGAGAGCTGAGTCATCCGAAAACAGTTACTGCCCATGGGCTTGAATGGGACCCCTCTCTGGAGAAGGTATGGTTAACACATATGTCTGTTCTGTTCGTCAGCTGGCAGTGTTTATTTACTATGCTGTGTGGAAGCCTCAGAAACAGTGGATCACCTTGGACACAGGCATCTTGGAGAGTCCCTTTACCTATAGTCCTGAGAAGAGGGAAGAAGCCTGGAGGTTTATCTCATACATGCTGGTACATGCTGGGTAAGCAATGACGTGAAGCCCCTGGTATCAGAGGTGATTATATCCTTGTAACCCTAACATTTATTAGGGACTTTATTATTGATAAGGCACTTTCATATCCATAATCTTGTTTGATCTGCCTGCAACCCCGAGGGGTAGTAGGCATTACTCCTGCTGTTTCATGTCTGAGGCTTAGAAGATGTAGTCACAGAGGCCAAGGCAGGCAGATCACTTGAGGTGAGGAGTTCGAGACCAGCCTGGCTGATATGGTGAAACCCCATCTTTACTAAAAATAAAAAAATTAGCCAGGCATGGTGGCACATACCTATAGTCCCAGGGGGCTGAGGAAGGAGAATTGCTTGAACCCGGGAGGTGGAGGTTGCAGTGAGCTGAGATTGTGCCACTGCACTCCAGCCTGGGGGACAAGAGCAAGACTCCATCTCAAAAAAAAAAAAAAAAATTTGCAAGGCTGTGTAGGATATATCATGTGTGGGGTTATATAAATTAGGAATATTTTGGATGCAAGTACCAAAAATATCTATCAGGGCCTTAAACAGAAGTTAATTTTTTCCCATAAAAAATGCCCAGAGGGTCCAGGAATGGTGGCTTATACCTGTAATCCCAGTACTTTGCCAGGCCAAGGCAGGTGGATCACCTGAGGTTGGGAGTTCAAGACCGACTTGGTCAACATGACAAAACCCTGTCTCTACTAAAAATACAAAAATTGGCTGGGCGTGGTAGCTCACACCTGTAATCCCAGCACTTTGGAAAGCTGAGATGGGTATATCACTGACGTCAGGAGTTCGAGAACAGTCTAACGTGGTGAAACCCCGTTTCTACTAAAAATACAAAAATTAGCTGGGCATGGTCATGGGTACCTGTAATCTCAGCTACTAGGGAGGCTGAAGCAAGAGAATCACTTGAATGTGGGAGGTGGAGGTTGCAGTGAACCGAGATTGCACCATTGCACTCCAGCCTGGGGGACAGAGGGAGACTGTTTCAAAAAAGAAAACAAATTATCCGGGAGTGGTGGCACATGCCTGTACTCCCAGCTAATAGAGAGGCTGAGGCATGAGAGCTGCTTGAACCCATGAGGTGGAGGTTGTGGTACAATCTCTGCTTACACACACACACACACACACACACACACACACACGAAAAAGACTGACACACACACACTCGTAAAAGAAGAAAAAAGTTTTCTGCTAAAAAAAATTAGAAAATGGAATTCTAGTTAAACAAATCCTTAACTAGAAAAAAGCACATGAAAGTTTGTCTCCCTGGGAAATAACTGCTTGGTTTAGCCATAATATTTGACAACTATTGTTTTTCGTTGCAGAGTTCAGCACATCTTGGGGAATCTTTGTATGCAGCTTGTTTTGGGTATTCCCTTGGAAATGGTCCACAAAGGCCTCCGTGTGGGGCTGGTGTACCTGGCAGGAGTGATTGCAGGTCAGTGTTCTCAGGTAACACCGAATCAATACCTCTGGGCTCTTAGGATTAAAAGCAAAGGAAATAAATACTTACAGTGGCCTTCTTTAAGTCGATTTATTGTACTCCTAATATGTGCTAGGGAACAGTAAGCCTTAGAGGTCATTTAATTAGAGATAATATCGCACATAAGGACTAGTCATTGTGTCTATTCTCAGGTAGCTAACACTCAAGACAGGGTTTTGCATAACTGAAAATGCAAGCATGCCAGGTGCTCCCACCTGTAATCCCAGTACTTCGGGAGACTGAGTGTTGGGAGGAGCACTTGAGGCCAGGAGTTCAAGACCAGCCTGGCCAATATGGTGAAACCCTGTCTCTATTAAAAATACAAAAATTAGCTTGGAATGGTGGCACACCCGTTTCATCCCAGCTACTCAGGGGGCTGAGGCACCAGAATCACTTGAACGCAGGAGGCAGAGATTGCAGTGAGACAAGATCATGCCACTCTAGCCTGGGCAACAGAGCGAGACTCTGTCTCACACACACACACACACACAAAGGAATAAAGAAAACTGCAGACTAATGATTTTGAGAAGTAACATGATCAGATTTGCATTTAAGAAAGATGACATTAAGGGAATGTAGAGAATAACTTACGGGGCCCAAACACTGAGTAGGTACAAGCAGCATATGGCAGTGATCTCTAAAACTGGGTGCATCTAAGGTGATCTATTATGGTAATGGGAAGAAAATATTCGAATTCCCATCCATCCATTTGTTTACTAATTGGAAACATTTTTTTAAAAACTAAACTTTTAATTTTGAGATAATTGTAGATTTACATGCAGTTGTTAAAAATAATGCCCAGAGGTTTCATGTACCCTTTAAACCAGCTACCCCCCATGGTGGCATCTTACAAAACATTAGTACTGTATCACAACTAGGATATCCACGTTGATAGTCAGGGTACAAAACTTTTTCAAGCCATATGGATCCCCCATGTTGCCTTGTTATAGCTCTACTGCCTTCCCTCCCACCTCCTTTACCCCTGGTCACTAGTGATCTGTTTTCTATTTCTATAATTTTGTCATTTGAAGAATATTATATAAATGGAATAATTCAGTAGATAGCCTTGTGGGATTGATTTTCTTCACTCAGCATAATTCTCCAGGGATTCATCTAGGTCGTTGCCTGTGTCAGTAGTTTATTCCTTTTTATTGCCCAGTATTTATTCCATAAAATGGATATAGCACCACTTTTTAACCATTCACTCATTGAAGGACATCTGCATTGTTCTCAGTTTTTGGCTGTTAGGAATAACACCACTCTAAACACTTGTGTATACATTTTTATGAACGTCAGCATGGGGCTTTGTGAACACGGTTTTCAGTTCTCTAGGATATATGTCCAAAGACACAGTTGTTGGATCATATGATAGGGGCATCTTTTTAAATTTAATTGATTAGTCAATTTCTTTTGAGACAGAGTCTCGCCCTGTCACCTCAGCTTGAGTGCAATGGTACGATCTTGGCTCACTGCAACTTCTGCCTCCTGGTTTCAAGCGATTCTCCTGCCTCAGCCTCCCAAGTAGCTAGGATTACAGGTGCCTGTCACCACGCCCAGCTAATTTTTGTATTTTTAGTAGACACAGGGTTTCACCAGGTTGGCAGTGAGCCGAGATCGCACTCCAGACTGGGTGACAGAGGGAGCTGGCCTCAAACTCTTGACCTCATGATCTGCCTACCTTGGCCTTGCTGGGATTACAGGTGAATTTTTAAAGAAAATTCTTTAAATATTAAACATTTAAAGAATGTTTTCTAGACTGTCTCTCCCATTTTATATTCACCCTGGCAATATATAAATGATTCAGATTCACCATTTGGTGTTGCATGATTTTTTTTTGAGACAGAGTTTCACTCTTGTTACCCAGGCTGGAGTGCAATGGCACGATCTCGGCTCACCGCAACCTCCGCCTCCTGGGTTCAAGCAATTCTCCTGCCTCAGCCTCCTGAGTAGCTGGGACTACAGGCGCGCACCACCATGCCCAGCTAATTTTTGTATTTTTAGTAGAGACGGGTTTCAGCATGTTGACCAGGATGGTCTTGATCTCTTGACCTTGTGATCCACCCACCTCGGCCCCCCAAAGTGCTGGGATTACAGGCGTGAGCCACCGCACCCGGCGCATGATTTTTTATTTTACCTGTGCTTGTGATGTGGAAGCAGGGAAGGGAAGTGCTGGGTAGAGGAGGGCATGGTTCCTGGCTAGGGCTCTACCCCCGCACTCCCGCCCTGGCCTGTGCTCACGGACTTAGGTGAGGACAAGGCATTTTTCTTTTCCTGCCCAAATGGTGCATTTCCCAATACTACCCTGGCCTGCCATGCCCCATTCTGTGCCTATAAAACCTCTGGGACCCTAGCCGGCAGACACGCAAGCAGCTGGATGTCAGGAGGAACACATTGGCACATGACAGGACAGGAGCCAGCATGCTAGCAAGCCACTCACCAGCAGCAGAAGGATGTGGAGTTTGGCTGGGTCAGTCAGAGGAGAGCCTGGGCTGCTGAGTGGCCCTACTCCAGGGGAAAGCCATCACCCTTCTGGCTAACCCATCTGCTGAGAGCTACTTCCATTCAATAAAACCTTACACTTACTTGGCCGGGCATGGTAGCTTATGCCTGTAATCCCAGCACTTTGGGAGGTCAAGGCAGGGAGATCATGAGGTCAAGAGATGAAGACCATCCTGGTCTTGATCCAACATGGGGAAACCCCATCTCTACTAAAAATACAAAAATTAGCTGGGTGTGGTAGTGCACACCAATAGTCCCAGCTACTGGGGAGGCTGAGGCAGGAGAATCGCTTGAACCCGGGAGGCAGAGGTTACAGTGAGCTGAGATCATGCCACTGTACTCTAGCCTGGTGACAGAACGAGCCTTTGTCTCAAAAACAAACAAACAAAAAATCTTGCACTCTTTCTCCAAGCCCTCATGTGATCCAATTCTTCTGGTACACCAAGGCAAGAACCCTGGGATACAGAAAGCTCTCTGACCTTGAAATAAGGCAGAAGTCTAATTGAGCTGAGTAGCAGAACTCACCTATGGAAGGGCTAAACTAAAAAAGTACCCTATAACACATGCCCACTGGGGCTTCAGCTGTAAAATTCACCCCTAGACGCTGCCCTGGGGTCAGAGCCCTGCAGCCTGCCCATCTGTATACTCTCCTAGAGGTTTGAGCAGTGGGGCACTGAAGAAGCCAGCCACACCCCCATCACACGCCCTGTGACAGGGCAAGGGAGCTTTTCCCCATTTCACTCCTAAGTGGGTAGTGATATCTGATCATGGTTTTAATTTGCATTTTCCTAATGGGTAATAATGTTGAATATCTTTTTTTTCAAATTTGGAGGGACATTCTGAGATGCATTATTGAGTATCTTTTTATGTGCTTATCTGCCTTCTGTCTATCTTCTTTAGTGAAATGCCTCTTCTGTTTTTCGCCCATTTGTTAACGTTTTTAACTGTTGAATTTTGAGAATTCTTTGTATATTCTAGATGCTAGCCCTTAACTGAATATGTAGTTTATAAATATTTCCACCCAGTCTGTAGCTTGTCTTTTTATCTTCTTGCCAAGGTCTTTTACAGAACATGAATTCTAAATTCTGGTGAAGTCTAACTTACCAATTTTTCCATTTATGAATGGTGATTTTGGGGTTATGTCTTAAAAACTTTTCACTGAACCTTAGGTCCTGAAGAGGTTTTCCAATGTTATCTGCTAAAAGTTATAGTTTTATGCTTTATATTTATTTCTTTGTTTTGTTTATTTTTAGAGACAGGGTCTCACTTGGTTGCATAGGCTGGAGTGCAGTGGCTCAATCATAGCTTACTGCAGCCTGCAGCCTCAAACTCCTGGGCTCAAGTGAACCTCTGGCTTTGGCCTCCTAAAGTGTTGGGATTATAGGCATGAGCCACTGCTCCAAGCCTTATGCTTTATTTTTTTTCTTTTTAATTTTATTTATTTATTTATTTTTTTGAGACAGTGTTCTGCTCTTGTCACCCAGGCTGGAGTGCAGTGGTGTGATCTTGTCTCACTGCAACCTCTGCCTCCCAGGTTCAAGTGGTTATCTGGCTTCAGCCTTCTGAGTAGCTGGGATTACAGGCACCCACCACCATGCCCAGCTAATTTTTGTATTTTTAGTTGAGATGGGTTTTGCCATGTTGGCTAGGCTAGTCTTGAACTCCTGACCTCAGGTGATCCGCCCTCCTAGGCCTCCCAAAGTGCTTGGGATTACAGGTGTGAGCCACCTCACCCAGCCTTTGCTTTCAAATATACAACCCGTTTTGAGTTTGAGTTTCTTTTTGTTTGTTTGGCCTAAAGATATCCAGTTATAGTAGGCCGGGCTCAGTGGCTCACACCTATAATTCCAGCACTTTGGGAGGCCGAGGCAGGTGGATTATGAGGTCAGGAGTTTGAGACTGGCCTGGCCAACATAGTGAAACCCTCTCTCTACTAAAACGACAAAAATTAGCTGGGCATGGTGGCATGTGCCTGTAATCCCAGCTACAGGGAGGCTGAGGCACTAGAATTGCTTGAACCTGGGAAGCAGAGGTTGCAGTGAGCTGAGATCATGCCACTGCACTCCAGCCTGGGCGATATGCTAGAACAATTCACTGAAGATTTTTTCCTCCTTCAATGAACTGCTTTTGCACTATTATAAAAAATCATTTGCCTGTAGTTATGTGGGGGCTATTCTGGGTTCTTTTTATTCCATCAATTTCTGTGTGTATCCCTCCACCAATACTACATAGGCTTGATTACTGTAGCTATATAATAAGTCTTGAAATCAGAATGATTCCTCTTACTTTATTCTTCATTTTCAAAATTTGGCTGTTCTAATTCCTTTCCCTTTCCATATAAGTGTTAGAATAATTCTGTTTATAGCTATAGAAATTCTTGCTGAAATCTTGATAGGAGTTGCCTTAAATCTGTACATCAATTTGGGGAGAACTGATATCTTTTCTATAGTAAGTCT